GCCAAAGCAATGAGAGTAAGAGCGCACAAGAGAGAGAGAGAGAGAGAGAGAGAGAGAGAGAGTTTTGTTCCATTTGTTGATATGAGAGAGAGAGAGAGAGAGAGAGAGAGAGAGAGAGAGAGAGATGCTGAATGGCAAAATTGAAACATGGGTCAAATTGCGGCTGCGATCTATTTCACAGTTGGAGTGATTTCTCAAAATTCATTGAGCATTTTTCCTGGAAAGATACAACAAAATCTACGAGTACTCCAATTTTCAGGTTTTTTCACACATTCTTCTGAGCGCGACACCTCGCTGAATTTGGGGTACTTTTTAGTTTGGCCCACACATGGCTGAGTGGCAACAACGAAAAATGTGCTGAATCGGTGCGACGATTGTTTCACAGTCTAAATGAATTTTTGAAAATGTTATAATATTATTCCTGGAAAGAACATGACCTCATCTATGGATTTTCAAAATTTCAGATTTTCTGCGGGTTTGTCCGAGCTCAGAAAATCGCCGAAGTTGCCTCTTGCAAAACGTGCCTGACCTCCCTGTTTTAAGAAGACGGGCCTCAACGCCTGGGCCTGAGGGCCCTTTTGCAGTTCACATGCCCTCACTTCTTTTTCGGGTCTGCTTCTACCCGAGGACCGGTCCAACGCCCCCCCCCACTTCTTTTTGGGGTCCACTTCCACCCGAGGACTGGTCCTTCGTTTTTTCAAAAGTCCTGGTTCTACCACAGCTAGCTGTAGGAAGTACGCAATTTTGCCAAGGACCGGTCCCCCAATTTTTTTCGTCCCCTAACAACCCACTTTGCGTCCTGGTCGACCGCCCCTGAAAATGCTACACCTTGACACAGACACGGAAGCCCACTATACCGCAGCCTTAGGGCTGCGAACACCCCCACCGATCTCGACCCATTTCCCCCCCCGCTGACCACGCGCGCCTCCCTTCTCTGCGCACCACCGTTCCATCCCCCCCGTGTTACCACACGCTTTCCCTCCCCCCTGGGCAACTTCCCCCACTCTTCCCCCCCAATCATGATCATCACCACCACCAATCACCATCACCATCAATCATCACCACCATCGTCAATCACCCTTATCATCCCTATCATCAGCATCAATCTGATCGAGCAACCCCCACCTGCGCTAACCCCCCCCCCCATTAACCCTGCCTACTACCCCTCTCACACTATTGGATAGCCCACATAGCTAGGATCACTTCATTATTATTACTATTTCTTTTTCTGAAAACCTTATTTAGTTTTGAATTTGCAAAATTATCCCTTTTTGTTTGTTTGTTTGATATCTCAAGCTTTTCACTTCTTTTTTGAAATTTCAAAATTCGCAATACTTTTGATTAATTCTTTTTTTTTTATTTTTCTCATTCGAAAATACGTTGGAATCAATTTTATTTTTTTTTGACATTTCTTTTTCGTAATTTGGAAATACTCCTAACTTAATTGAAGTTAATTCTTTTCCGATTTTTTTTTTTGTAATTCGCAAATACGGTAAATACCTTAGAATTAATTAATTCTTTCTCAACATTTAATTTTTCAAAATTCGAAACTACTTTTTCATTAATTCTTTTTTTAAAACTTTGTCATTCGCTCGAATTAATTAATTATTTTTCGACATCTGAAGATGATTTTAATTAATTCTTCTTCATAAAATAATTAGAATTCCTTTCCAGAAATTTTCCTGAAATTCAAAAATACATCATCATCAATTAATTCTTCGCAAATCTTTTTCAAAATTCTCCTTCGAGTACTTTTCCTTCCGTACAAAACTACAAATGTTATCCTAAGCTCCTCAATTAATTTCGACTGAACTCAATTAATTTACGGCTG